CCAATATCGGATGACACATTAATTTTCTAAAATTAAATTCTAAATTTCTAAATACAGTAATGAAAGTCATCTTATGATTTGTTTTAGAAATAATAAGGAAATAATCATGGCTTATTCATGATTTCCTCTTACTAAAATGGACAAACAGTGCCGTAATAATTATTTCTCTTTGCATAGTAATGAAGTTAATAATCAGGTGGCCATATTAGTCAATTACTTGTCTTCCAATATAGTCCCCGACTGATCTGTTTCTCTACACTGGTATTGGGGAAATAAAATCCTGTTCTCACGTAGAAAGCCATAGATTTTTCTAATTATATACATTGATCCGCCCTTCTATAATATTCACTTATTCATCCTTGGAATTTCACAACGACCTGATGACCTGATCAATATCTTCCTCAAACAGTAGTGAATCGGTAGACGATTGTTTATGTACAACAGGGTTATTTTCATTGGTATTTAATCTCCATTTGCAAAAGGAGAGTCTTTTTTTTTTTTTTGATCGACTTGGAACATTTCAGTCGGTGTGATTTTCAAAATGAAATATAAAGAAACAGTAACAAAGCTCAAAATTCCATGAAATAAATAAAATTTAGAGGAGATTTAACACGGGCCTCTGAAAACATCAGAGGTGGGATCAGGTGCCTGGGAGAGACAAGCATCCTCTGTCGTTCGTTACACCCGCTGTGAGCAGATTTTTCGTTGTTGTTACTAGTTGGCTTCTTTAAATTCCTTTCAATATGTTTTTTTTTAATTTTTTGAGACACCACCACTTGCTAGGGGAAGGCTACAAATTCATTCTGGGTAATTGAGCAGTGAAAGCTGGCACCTACTGCGACACGAGATCTCGGGTTCTACCGTCGCATTCAAAGGTTCGGTCTCCATGTCCTGTAGGGATATTCGTACCTGCGGAGTTGGGATCAATTTCTTACTCCGTGGACGCCAAAGCAGAAGCTCCTTTCCCCCATGCGGGCGACGTGTGCTCTCTTTCATGATCGGACAAACTGAAAAGATCAATAATTAATAACCTAACACTTTGTATTAAAACATTCACTTTCACTTAGCATTTGGCTGAATGATGGATTGAATTTGCTGGCAAGGTCATTGTGTTCAACATAGAACTTGCTGAATGTTGAATTGAAAGAAATTGTTGATATCATTCGTTCTTCAACTTGTTTGTCAATAACTTGCCTCGTTTCAGATACTGTACTTAAGTAGAGCATACTCTTGTGTATCGAATTAAGCAGAAGACATGGCCTCTATATGCAGGTGACAAGAGTTTATTAGTAAACGAAATATATGGATATAACAAACGGTAATCAAGCTCTAAGTCAATTTTATTAATAAAAAGGAGGGGTAAACGAATGCCATGGAGAGGAAAGCATCACCTATCTACTGGTCATGGCCGCTGTGTGATAGTTGGTAAATTCTTTGTTATGATCTTGTAAATGGAATATATCCGTAGCCAATTCATTGTAAATAAAGGCCTAGTAGGGTATACTGCTACAAGAGTAAGGAAAGTCGACGATGTTGGAGTGATGACGTCATCATGTTTATCATAAGGCTTTGTTATTAGGGTTTCCGTTTTCGTCTTTTTCTGGTAAAGTATCTAAATATGAAACGGAAGTGTCCGACTCCGTGGTGTCTTTTATATCAAGTTCACTGGGATATATCGTGTGGACATATAGATGAAAGTAACTATTGTAAATGATAATACTTCATCGATGTATATTGGTATTTACTTTTTATTAATTATTCATTATTTTAATTATTTAGTTGAAAACCCCACGAAGTGTTTTCATTTTTGTATAAGAATTAGTTTAAGGTAAGCATAGACAAAAGAGGAATAGGTTTAATTGTGAACTGAGACACGATTTTCTAAGGTCACAATCTCTAGTAAGACAGTCTTTAGAATATTCTTTGGGTAGAACACAGGGGCATCTTATCCACTCTGTTCTCTACTTCACATATAAAAATACACAAGGGAAGAATCGAAAGTAGCACACGATTTTTAAAAAAAGTCAAAAAACAACTTACTTGAGAAAAGTTACACAAATCCTGAAAGGAACTAGCGCAAATAATGTCCTAGTACTTATCCAGGCTAAAATATTCCAGATATATCCATCGAAAATAGCTTTTATCCAACTAAAACCCCAGCTTTCTGCACAGTGTGAAACTCTTCGCCCAAGAAAAGATAACTCACCCGGATGACAATAGGGTAGTATCCGAGGCCTTCCGAGTGCCATTGGAAGACTTCAGGTACTACCCTATTGTCATCCGGGTGAGTTATCTTTTCTTGGGCGAAGAGTTTCACACTGTGCAGAAAGCTGGGGTTTTAGTTGGATAAAAGCTATTTTCGATGGATATATCTGGAATATTTTAGCCTGGATAAGTACTAGGACATTATTTGCGCTAGTTCCTTTCAGGATTTGTGTAACTTTTCTCAAGTAAGTTGTTTTTTGACTTTTTTTAAAAATCGTGTGCTACTTTCGATTCTTCCCTTGTGTATTTTTAGCCGGGCTCATTTCTCGTAGAGAAATGCCCGGCTATTGCGACGGTGAGCAACAGAAAATGCTGCTTCTTCACCGTCAAATTAAATTTACGAGTTAGAATATAGTACGTCTGCGCAATCACCTTTGAGGCAATACAAACACTGAATTATTTTCATAGTTATCTGAAATTATAAAAAAAATAATTATAATAAAATACTTTATATCTTTTTCGATGATTAATCATTTGGTTAAAATATGCGAAAGGTTTTCATCAGGTATCCCTGTCTGCGTCATATTCTATAAATAAAGGGTGTACTATCAGGCTTATACAAATGCGGGGAACTTCATTAATGACTTGATGTACGCTTTGATGCAAAGCTCCCCGCTGAGGACCCATCTGTGCATAATTGTTTGGCCTTAAATAATCTTGCTGCATCAGTGTTTATTTACTTCTGTTGGTATGTAAAACCCCGAAATGATACATGTGACAAATATTTTACGCTTTTAAATTCTAGCTACATTTAAATTAATTTTAAAGCTTTTTAATGCTAAATATGACATATATATATAGTTATATAATCACCTTTACAATGTCTGAATCAGCTTGTTTTTAAACTGTCATTGCGGTCTTTGTTCATTACCCTGTAAATGAGCGCGGCTTTCAGTACTTCTGAGTACTTTGATTATATGTGAAGTAGAGAACAGAGTGGATAAGATGCCCCTGTGGGTAGAAAGTAATATTTTTCAAATTTCCTCTTTGTAGAGCAAGAGAAGAGAAAACGACCGTACAGTATTTTAGTGAGTTTGTCCAAGACAGATATCTAATGGGCATTAGAAACCATAAGATTTCAAAAAGAATATGTTGCGTGTCAATTGTTAGGTTTCAGCGGCACTTGTAATGAAGATACAAAAGGTCAGCAGCGTCTTACGTTGCACTGGTGGGTCTTTAGGTAAGTATAACAAATGTTTCCAACCAGTATATATTGAGACCCCTTAACTTTAGAGACTTCATGATATGTACAGTCAAAAAGTAAAGGATAGCCTTTGTCGTCGCAAATGACCACATTTATAAGATCTCACTATCCTGTTAAAATACCTGAAAATAAATACAAAGGTAAGTAGCGACTTTCCTAATAATCCCTTTTTAAAGAAATCATATGTTTCTTTTTTTTTTTTTTTTTTTTGACATTTTAAATATTATTTGGACTTTATTCTTCTAAGTTAACGGGACTGCATTTTTTAAAATACATAAGTGGTTACAGTTAGTTAGCAATCCTTTTGACAAAGAGGGTCCCTCTGAGAGATATATATACACCAATTCTAATTTTCAATTCTGACAAGAAAACAATTGTGATTGACATTGCATTAAGTATCCTGCCAATTTATCTCACCCTTTTAGAGTTATAGAAGAGGTTTTTACGTGAATGCTGTATATAGATGCATTAAATACACCCGTTCTGGAATGGCTTCCGATTCCCAGACTTTACATTACTGTCGCCACGCAATTCTCTGCGAATAAAATCAGATAAAATCTTCTCTCACCTACAGATGTACCATTATATCCTCTTCCAATCGTCAACAAGTCGCCATGCAGCACAATACAACTATCAATGATTCCAATGTTTCTGTTGAAGTAACTGTGACACCGAAATATTTGGTTCCTGTACCCATGTACTATACCATAGCAACTGGACTTTTGTGTGTTGTTCTAATTGGACCATTTATGAACATCACCAGTATAGTAGTTTTCGCTAAGAACAAACATCTGCAATCTCCAACAAATATTTTTGTCATTTCTCTTCTCGTGGGAGACGCGGGGATGAGTTGTGGCGCGTTTATATCAATGACATCAAACTTTAATCGTCACTACTTCTGGGGGGACAACGTTTGTACTTTTGAGGGATTCTGGCTCTATTTGATGGGACTAACAAATCTGTACACACACGCCGGTATCGCCTACGATAGGTACATCATGATTGCCAAGCCTCTTCAGGCTAACAAGATCACAGCTAGAGTGGCCGTGGTCGTAGTGCTCGTGATTTGGTTTCAAGGCTTCTGTTGGGCGTCTTTTCCCCATTTTGGATGGGGGAAGTACACGTATGAGCCTGCGCGAACATCGTGTGCCGTAGAATGGGACTCTAGAGAGTTTGGTTCGGCTAGTTACAACATTGCTATAACGATATGGAGTTTAATTATACCATTGGCTGTTATCTTTTTCTCTTACTACAGAGTAATGATGACGGTGAGTACAATTCTTTTGTCATGATGTCAGTGAGTACAACTCTTTTGTTAAGGTTACGGTGAGTACAATTCTCGTTTTGATGACGGTATGAACAATTATTTTGTAGATTCCGATCAGGGATTTAAGTAAAGTCCTTCTTTTGACACCATAGTATAGCCCCTTTTCCGGGGATATAGTATAGCCCCTTTTCTCATAATATATAGGTACTTACTTAGGCTATATATAGTAAAGTCTCACTTCTTTGGCTATAATGTAACCCACCTGATGATATTATGATATACCCCAACCCCTTTGAAGCAACGAATTCAAGAGGGCTTTTTTGTAAATTCTTGTGCCTTGTCTGAGATTTAACTGCACACTCCTTTACTTAAAATGTATTACTTTACCATGTTTACTTTTAGTTACTTTTAGTTTCGCTGGGGAAGGAAGTAAAATATTTTCTGATTTCATACACACATCCAAACTAACATTGGTTTATTACTGAGAGAGAGTGGCCATATAGTTTGAAATTATTTCTCGGCTTCAGATCTCTCAATTTAAAATACTTTAAGGAGATAAAGATTTTTACTTTTTAATGGCCAATGGTATAAATTCAACAAAGAAACCTGATAACGTTGAAGTCATTTACGGTATTCCTATCTACTAGTCACGAAACACGCATCGTTTTGTTATATTTGTATCTTATATACTTCTAATCGATAAATTGGAATATTAACCTGCCTTTGTCTTAATTATGCTAAAATTGTTCATGTCAATTTTGTATTACTAGCACCTTTAGCGGAAGTACATTTCATTTCTTTTCTTCGGTTCATTATTAAGAGATGGAGATATTTTCACATTCGTTTGATAACTTGAAATGAAGAGAAATGTTAACATAATGCTCTTCAAAGTCTACATTAATCAATAGTCACGAAAATAATCTATCAAAGTCCATCACAGGGGCGTAGTATCCGGGGGGGCCAGGGGGGGCCTGGCCCCCCCACTTTTTTCCCAACCTTACTTACACTATAGGAAATGTTAATTCAAAGCCTGTTTGGCCCCCCCACTGTTAGAAATGTACCGAAAATGTAGTATAAGAATTGGTACTAAAAGTAGTTGACACTGAAAAAAAGTTTACCTAACACCCCCCCCCCCCCCCCCCCCCCCCGAAATAGGATTTTCGACTTTGGGCAACTTTTACATTTTTTTTTTTTTTTTTTTTTTTTTGCTTGTCAACTTTTTCAGGTAAGTAAAAAAAATTTTTTCTCTGCCTGGCCCCCCCACTTTCAAAAACGATGCTACGCCACTGCATCAAAAGAAATCATAGAGATTGCCTCCATTCTCAGAATTCTGATGTGACTATTCTTAACATAAACATGATAAATGATCCTAGAGAAATTTGAAAGATTCCATTGAACTTCAAGTTTAAATCTTTAATTCAACGGTTGACAGTGAATACAAATGATATAAATGAGTACTGTAAACTCGCATATTTTCGTGGAGTAAAACTTTGTTGGTTTGAGGGAAAAAATATGGGGATTGAATTTCGTTGAGTAGTGTATTTGATATTTTACATTTGGTGGTGGACATGAATTCATGGGTCTCTTCATTTCTCGAAAACAACGGATATTGACCCACCGTGAAAATCAGTGATTTCAAAGTATGTCAGCAATTCGTACATTGTATACTTTAGGAAGATATTACAGCTTTCTTATTTCAAAAACTATTTTCTAACATAATTTTGCATCAAACATATTTTGGAAATAAACAAGCAAGTACCTATGAACCTGATTCTGACATAAGTACAAACAAGATTTATTTCATCAATGCATTCATGATTCTGTTACATGTAAGATTTTAAGCCTATTTACTGGAAATCACAGATTCTATTCTTTTAGATAAGACACATCGCCAGGAATAGCATATGGGACATGAACAGCAGGGTTGCTCGAAAAAATCTCATGACCGAGAAGAAAATGTTCCGCACAATAGTATTAATGTTAGGTAAGTTAAACAATAATGTGCTAATGATTTTAATCTCTTGTTAAATTGGTTGTTTTATTAATTTTCTGCAGCTGCTGTAACATCAATATGGGTACATGAATCATCAGAAATGAACACCTTGTTTGGAATTTTTTCGTATGATGACGATAATGTTAATTTATTTATAGCATCGTATATTTGGTTGCCCTGGACTCCTTACACTGTAGTCAGTGTGTGGGCTATTATTGGCTATTCCGAGGACATACCCATTACATTATGACTATCC